CTTCCATTCTTTCGTTTTTTTGGGGGAGCCCCCTCGAAAAGGGTGAGGAATTTAAGACGACGATCGATTTTTCGCGTATGCATTGGTATTCGCGTAATGTCTTACTCGAGATTAGAGTTATGTTTTTTCACTGTTTGGTGGAAGTTTGCGCTTTGTGTAGTTTCTCGACACTTTTCTTGATGATTTCGTTTCTTCTATTGGTACTCAATGTTCAATGTTAAAGACAAATTTTAACAAGATAATCACGTGAAAATGCATTATAGAAATTAAGTATTTCAGATTAAAATAGACTTCTTTTATGTTTAAGTATTTTATAATTAATTCCAGCAGTTCAAGTGAGAAGGTAATTGCTTATCTATCTCGCGGTATATAGATTAAAGACGGTTTTTGTTTATCTATGTTTATGCGTTAAGTCATTTTTATGCTTATCTAGACTTAATATGTATATTATTTAGGTTTTGGCTCACAGTGCTTAAACTATAATAATGATTTGTTCAGAAGACATAAGATTTTTGTATAGTGAACTACAATCTTTTTTCGGAATCTGCATGATGCTTGCAATATCAAGTAGGAGAACAAGTTTCATACACACAATTTTGCCAATGTATATTAATATGTTCTTGTTCCCTAGATATCAGATGTTTTCATCTTTGCCCACAACCGTCTCTTAGCTACTTAAAATTAATTTTAATTTTATCGTTCCTGTTTTAACCGAGATTTAATATACCAAATATTATGGTTAATATGAATGGGAAAATAATAAAAGGAGGTACGGCCCCGTTCTGTGGTTCTCTGTCACACGATCGACGTGAATTGAAAGTATTATACTTCTGCTTTTCGTCTGGTGAGTGAGGTAGCCGGGGCCAACTTTATTAAAATGTGGCAATGCATCTGCAACTATGGGTGCTGCAAAGATAGCGAACATTATCAAGGATAACGCATCAGAATAGGAATTAATGGCGACAACCAGTAAGCACTTCAAAATAAACATGAAAAATATCTAAATAGCAAATGAACTGGATTATGTTCTTAATGTAAATAGGCAATGTTTTAACGATTTAATCATAGAAAAGAATAACAGAAATATAACAAATGGTACACTGAAAATTAAATTTATGTCTGACTGGTTATACCATAGTGACCAGACTTTATCAATTTCTTTGATATATACGCTTAAACATTGCAGCGTCAATTATCGGGCTCATTCATTTTCACTTAAAAAATAAAAATATTTCAGTTAATGACACTTTTGAGATTGAACTCACGATTAACACGAACATAATCGTAGGTTCTCAAGAAAGGTTTTTGAATTTGTGAATGATTTAAAAAAATACTGGATTTTTTACTGGTATTCACCTGAACAGTAGATAGTGCTACATTAAACTGTTAAATAAAACTATTTTACAGATTTGTGTGCCTAGGGTTTTGCACTGTACACGTCTTTGCAAATTAAAAACGTGAACATAACCTCAACACTGACAAAACGCCAGACAAAAATAATGTTAGATAAAATTTTAGAATAACTTTTTAACATCGATTTTATGAATTCTGATATGTCGAATGGGTGAATCGTCCGTAGAATTACCACGGTCCTAATGACGATGTGTAGTGAAAATTTTGTATTTTTGCGTTTTCTTCTAGTGAGTGAGGTAATCGGAACGCACTCTTTGTAAGGATAAGCAACGTATCTTCATCTCAACAGCTGTAAATGCATGTCTATGAGAGGTGATAATCACCTAACATCTAGTGAACCGTCTGCTCGCTTGCACCATCTAACATAAAAATCAATGATATCGGCACATTAAATATTTTAAAATTTATTCAACTTCATTTAGTCAATCGTGACACTAACGTTAACGAAACGTAATAAGTTACTTACGTCTAGTCAATGCTTAACGCCTGCGTGTCTTCTTAATGAGCTTTTGTTGTATTACTAAAATTGTTTTTCATTCAGGCTATATTTGTAAACGAAAAAATGAACAATATTTTCCTTCATTAATAGATTACCGGCGCGCGGCCACAAAAGGCAAGGCGCGAGCCGCGGCAAAAGGGCAAAAAGCCTTTCGGCCAACAAAAAAGTCTCAATTAAAAACCTGACGGAAGCTTTTAGAAGGTAATCCTTCAAATTGTTTCCAACGCCCCCTCATTAGCACCGAAAGTGTTAAAAAATAAACTTTTTAATCTTTATTACTCGACGACTGCGCTAAACGGGTTAAATTATTATGGAACAAGCGGTATCTCATTTTTTCCTCGACTTTTTAACCCTTCGCGGATGTAATTTATTGGTAGCCGCGGAGAGTTGCTTTGAATTTTTTCGGGCGCGTTTTATATTGTCTACGGGGGCTTTTAATAAGGCGAACTTTGGCGCGATCTTTGTCTGTGTTTTTAAAACAAATTTTGGAAACCTTATTATTTTACATCTTAGAAAAATAAATATACAATTTTGAATATTTAAATTTTGATAGTTAATTAATGTTAGGCACATTATTGAAACAGTTTTATCGACAAAGAATAATATTTTATATAAAACTAGCGGACCGGACAGACGTTGTCTGTCACACGTCTTAAATTCGAAAATTTCAAACTTTTTTAATAACTTTGTGAATCTACACCATTCTTGAATCGACTTTGAAGCCACAAAAAATTTCATTAAAATAGGACCAGCCGTTTAGGAGGAGTTCAGTGACATACACACGTACTGAATAATTTTATATATATATAGAAAATCCGGGTCACACATACATTGCACATAATTGTCATTGTTGACCAAAATGCTTTGGAGTTGGCCCGTGATTCTACTAGGTGACAGATTTAAATCCCGAATATCGTGGTCCATTACTTAGTGGTCTTTTGGATTTGAAATATATGCAAACACGTTTTTAGAATTGCGACTGGTGCGCAAGATTAACTTTAAACGTTCCGGAATAAACTAGCTTCTGACTCTTCTGACTAGATCTCATATCCCTTTAATAATAATCATCATTTATTCGCATAAACATGGTACATAATATAGTGGTGTCGAATTTTTTTTAAATAGCTCAGATGTTTGTCAGATGCGGCATGCGAAAACCAATGTATATAAACTACATAGATAAAAGTTAAAATGACGGAAAAAACTTATTATATAAATTAAAGTGTTAATTTGCTATCATTTTATTAAGCTCTTAATGACGTATTTTGAAAATTATTAATACTAAAGGGCTTACGCTTAAGGGCCGTAATAAAGCTCTGACACCACGGGTGAGCCTAAATTTGTATTATGATTAAAAAGCGCCTAACAGGAAACGTTAATTTCAAATGACCCGCTCCAAATGTTTACAGCGAACCCCGCAGTCCAACTTCTCAATGAATTCACCCAATTTATATCGCAAATAGAAAATTAGTCAAATAATCCTGGAAGCGAACAAACTTCACTAATTACGCGGCTAAATCCAAACAATTCCCCGGAAACTCCAGAGAGGCGAAGAGGCGGTGGAATCGGGGAGAAAAGAAATCGCTCCGACAGACGGAGAAAAACATTTCCGCGACAAGTTTTATTTACCATAAACATTGTTACACAAAACGGCGGCCGGACGGGGCGTTGAAAAAAAAACTGTTACGTCATTAAATCCGTTAATTAATTCAAATGGAACCGCGGGAAAACATTTGCATTCCCGCCCCGCGTCGCTTTTGTCTCGGAAAATAAAAGGAAATCCTCTCGCGCTCGCAAGATTTCGCGTCGTTTGAAGGGAAAAAATCTGCCCACTAAATGGAAATTTAGCGTTTAATAAACCGGCCGATGTTCGCCGGAATTAATTAATGCTTCGCCTTGTCCTGCAAGTTTTTTGCCCCCTCTCAACTGACATTAGCCGATATCAACACGGCCTCCAAGGGTCGACTATGGGGGAGTGTCGACACTTTATAATGGTGTAATAATTAAGACGGGAGTCTGTTGTTTCGAGTCTCGTAATTATTCGGTTCGCAGGCCGCGATTTTATCGTCCGGGCTTGGTTTTTTTTTTATTAAAAAAATGTATCTATTCGCTGGACGTTTTTACATATCAATAAAAGATTTCGAGCGTTGATGGCGCGTAACCCTTACGTTTTTAACACGAAGGAGTCTTTATTTGTCAATAAAATTACTACGGTTGCCGCTCGGGTTCCACTTTAAGAATAACCCGAAATTAGTCTATCTACCTTGTGTACGGAATTTCGTAACTTTTGAACACTGCTTGGCTTTTTAATTAGCGGCCAACGGGCGTTACGTTTCGAACGTGGTAAATCGTAGTCGAGATTAAGGTTTCTGTGTCCGCTGAAGTAATTTCGTTTTAAGGCCCCTTTTTACGACGCCTCATTGTTTTACGATGTCTTTCCTCCACTATAAAAGTGGAAAGCTGCAACTTTTTAAGCCGATGCTACGTTTTTCGCCACGATCAAATTATATCCCGATGGCCGCGAAGGGACAAGCGAAAAAAGGCGCGAAGGAATCGAAGGAAAAAAAATCAGCACACAAAATTATCTCCGCATAAACGCCATGTACGAGGCCCGATCTGATAATGTGGCCCATTAATTTGAACAAAGTTCGCGTCGACACACCGCCGTTCGCCTTATAAAGGTGAGGCGACAAAATTTATAAGTTCGATTACTTTAATCTCGGTTAACTTATGCGAGTACAATTTCAAAGCTGACAAAAGAAATGCACGCAATAAATCGCGACGCTCTTATCTGTTAAATATACCTGTATTGTTGTAAGAGGGTGTCGTCGCGTTATCTATAACTAACACGCGGTAATTAAATTGACGAGGCACCGTTCGTTGGACCCAGCTCATATACGTGCACTCATGCACATGCGTTAAATAAATCACATGATCGACTGCCTGATGTTGGTCGCGTACGCGTTTTAGCGATGAATTAACGTGACGTCACGATTTGATTTTCTCTTAATGAGCGCAATGGCGTTCGGCGCTCGCTCCGGCCAGCAATAAATAAAGGCTTAAGCGCACCCGCCATATTTCTCGATTAGGCGCGAAAGTGAATCGGCCGCAGCGCGTCGGTAGGCGTCCGCGGCCGATTGGTCACAGGAATCGGATCCGCTCTGTCCGCGCAATTATAATCAACGGCGGCCGACGCGTCTCGTAATTCTAAAGCGATCACAGCCCGCGCCATCTGTTTGTAAATACTTCGTTTATGTGTAGCGGTCGCGTCGCTGAGAAATTGTAGGCTATTTATGGCGGTCGCGGGCTGCCAGCGCTGATAAAGCCTATTTAGCCGTTTGAAGGCCCTGTCCTTATATGAATGCTTTGTAAAAGTTGAAAATCATTAAGTACCCATCGCTAACAGTCGATAATAGCAGCAGCCATTTTGAGATCGCAAATTTTTCATGACCGTTAGAGATAAACGGAATCCAACAAGGTTTCACGAGTTTGACAGTAGTTCCTTCTGCCAAGAAACATTTCATCAAAATTATTTTCCATTCGGAATGGTCGAGACTATTGTCACTCTTTGTTTATTTCATAAATAGACTATTACGATTAGGTACAGTGACTTCACATCTGTAGTTCATTAGCTGGCCTACTATTTTCATATTCACATATTACATGCAAAATTCTCGTTGCTCGTATTCATCTATCGGAACATTCCATCAGGTATCCGAATCGAGAATAGCGCTCTCCGAACGATAATCAATTCACGTTCGCTTCCGACGCGAGGCTGATGTTGGAATGGCGGCCGTCCGCGCCCAAACGACATTAGCATTGTTGACACAGTATCTCCGTAATCCCCACAAAAGCTTCTTACCATAAATAATGCGTGTACTCCGCTAACTATAATAGCCGACGCGTAGGCGGGTCCACGGATCGACAGACCTATCCCGATTGTAAATCAGAAACGAGATTACAACTCCGACCGACGCGCGGACACTCCGCTCGAAATTATTTCCTATGCTCAATGTCCGTTTATATTTTCACGTACCCCCATCGTAAGTGTAACGGCAAATTCATTCGTCGCAGACATCTGTTCTTGCCAGAATGAGTACTTGATCGCCAACAGCATGTTGAAAATAAAAATTCTCGAAAATAGCATTTCCATATATGCCACTAGATCAATAAATTTCTAGAGAGCTCATCAGTGAAACTTATATTTGGTTAATAAATTAACAGTGTGAATTTATTCCGTGCTTGAAACCTAGTGGCGTGTAAAACAGACATTAATATAACTCGTATAATAATAATTATTTCCAACCATCGAAAAATATATTCGAAAATATTTCCAACACCTCTTTAGTGTATTGACTTGTGAGTTATGTTTTAATCTATTCTTTCTAAACCTTGCAACGTTTAATAATTAATTGATTTAATTTTGCTTATTTACAATACGGCTAATTCATTATAAATAATTAAGTATAACTGTGAGATAATACGGTGGTTTGTTATTCCACTATTTAAAAATTATTACAATTTTATCATCAGAATTAGCTGCAATTTATTAATAAGGCTGACTGACGGTTGTACATCGTCCTGAGTCGCATATACAACTCTGATTCATACCTCGCGGGCATTTATAACGCCCCATTTAATAGCTACTTAACATCATAAATCATGATAACACCACTAAATAACAACGTATTCAAAATCGCAACATGAACTAGCCTTGATATGTTGACATTTTGCGAGAAACAATGACAGGGAAGTGACTAAGGTACCGCCATTTGAAACGTTCGGTATGTTGAAAATAAACTCAAAACCATATTAATTTCGCAGTGAAACTTTTTGTATGCTAGAATATGTCATATAAAATACATATTTGGCATTTAATCTGCTTTTTAAATATTAGGCTTAATTTTGGAATCCTATTGAGTCAGGAGTATTTAACTGGGCGTTAATAAACCGGATATATCGGTATGATGATATCGTCTATCGTTTTGCCTAATAAAGACTAATAATGTGCAGATGTAGCTACTTTGGCGATTAATCCCCAACCATCGTTTAAACAATGAAGTCAACACATCAATTCAAAAGTTATATTTAAGGGACAGCCCAAACTCTAATTCAAAATTATTCCAATCGTTGCTGCGCTATCGTGACTCATAACCTACAGCAAACCGAGCTTAAAGATCGAACGCGAATGAACATCAAAAACTCATTCCCCCAAAATTTATGTCGTCACCAGAGATCTTAGGACACGCACGGGCGACATCAACAAAGAATAATGAACACTTCATTCAGACCCGATACCGCTTAAATGTACGGACAAGATCGGAGTGGGCGTCCTAATAGAGAAATTACTTGGATATAAAGATAAACACAAAGGTGTGTAGGCACTTGTTGGTGTAAATTGATAGGACACGGCCGCGTCCCCACGTGCGAAACATGTCCGCCGTGTTGATTGTAATTTGTAGTGCGCGAGAGCATGTTCGGACAACTGGCGCATTCTGCAACGGAAACGAGAACGCTGCGTTGCCAAACCTCTTCGCTTGAAACTTTTTTCTACATAATCCACATGGCCAGCATTCTTTTTTAATTTTAGGATTTATATTTTTTTATTTGATCGTTTTTATTTCGAAAAGATTTAAACCGACATAATGCCGACTAATGATAACAAATATTTAAATATAATAAATACCATATGAACAATCAATAATAGACATTGCATTTAAAAAATAGAATAAAATTTAAAGCTGTGGTCTACCGTACGTAACTAAACATTACACATTTACAGTTTAACAATCAAGCCCAAATGTAAATGAAAAACTACATCCATTTACAATGCAATAAAATTCCATATCTCCATTCATAAAGGGACTTTCTGCTCAAAACTGTTCTTGATGGTCATCATAATTCAAAAGCACGTCACATATAGTAGACAGAGATAGCAATAGGTGTGTTTGCTAACACTACATAGATCATTTTCTTCACATCCATTACGTGAGAATATTTGTAGAAGGCACTTTAGGTCATCATTTACCCGTCGATTAGACTATGTTCACAGACTGTATCGCAGTTAATTTTAGCTCTTAGTTCTGAAGACCATGTTAGATTTCCAGCTGTCACTTGTAGAATAACTTATTTGATAATTTGGTAAATAACTTATTTGATAATTTGGTAAAGGTGAACTCACACATTTTAAAATGGAATCTTTTGAGAAAGCTCCCGTTTATCACTAACCACTGAGCAGGCAGCGGATTAACGCGCTCACATGTATTTGTTCACATAACGATTATATTATTTAAATAAGTTTTCAGGATTACATGTAGTAATCAGCAATAAAGCAGGATGTCCTGTTCTGTTAATTCAGAATGTAATTAAACAAACACAATGTCTACACGTATTTAATAATAAAATATACATAGTTAATTGCTACGGTGATCAATTAAATTCTCATATGTGAGAATAATAATCTAATAAAATTATGTAAAGAATGGTAGTCGTGAATATATTAGTTTAAAATATTAATCAGAATCGAGTTTGTTCGCTTAATGGAGAAATTTCCATTTAATTAATACAAAATAACCTGCCGAGACCAATGTCATAATGATTGCTTTGTTTGATATGAAGCTGAGGGCAAAAGGGCAAGAGTTGTTAGTTCCACCAAATCACGTTTTTAATTATCATTCTATGCTAATCTGTACACCATTAATTAATATCGACCTCGATTAAAAAACCATTCAAGTTTTGGAAACCGTTTTTTGTTTTAATTAATTGGTTGAATGGAATCCGAGTTATTTTTTTCGATATACGTGTCTCAATTAATTACCCAATAATATTATACTAGGAAGTGTATCTCGAATCATAAAATTAATTTTGATGTTTTTTTTTTAATTACTGGATGTATGTCTGTTGTGTAACATGTGGCCGGTTCCTGAAACTTAATTACTCTAAACTCATATTATTTTTATGTGAGAAGGTAGTGAATGTTAAGTGATAACCACCGCCCATGTATATTTGCAACACCCGTGCGGTTGCAGATGCGTTGCTATTTTTAATAAAGTGGACTCCGGCTACCTCGCTCTCCAGAAGAAACCCACTTAACACCGGTTTTCCGTGAGGTCGTGGTAAGTACCACGGGTAAGTACCCGGACGGACCTGCCCATTCGTGCATCAGCCGAAGCTGTTACATTTAGACCCTGTTACCCTACCAGAGTTAATAATTATTCGTGATAACATAATCATTAATTATTCATAAATTATTATTATTAAGAAAAAAAATGAGGGATGCGCCTTAGATCATCATAGGAAACTAAATACACAAAAAGATCTTGAAATTAACTATTATAGAAAAGTCTCTCGTATTACAAATTGTTTCCTGTAGATAGCAAACGAGTAATCATTTGAAAACTAGAGAAGAGCGCAATAACAAGACAAATTACGAACTAAGTGTATCAACAAGTAATGCTTAAATCGATTAACGACAACAATTACGATAACAATTTTTACACATCTTTTTATATATCACTAAATCTTCCAGTGTTTAGCATACACGTCTCTGGAGTTACAGAGTCGTTTATGACGCTGATCCAAATGCGAGGAAGTCGAACTAAATTCAAAACCAAAGTATCCAGTTAGCACCCTCTTTGCACAACAATCACGCGTCGTTTCACCGAGAACTGGACGATGCCGCGGGCGTAGCGTAGTCCGGCTGTAAAGCGTGCAGAATAACCCCTCGAGGCTTTGTCTCCGCTGCGAAGAGCGATCGCGTAATTTATAACGCGCCCTGAGCGAGCGGCCGGCGGGATTAGGCCGTCGTGGGCCGGTTTATGCGTGCGCCGACGCGAATTATTGCGACCCTTAATTGCCACACGCGAACCGTGTTAATTAATAATAAATCCAACGCTATACGACACGCGTAAACGTCGCACGTAGTTCGCGCGGCTAACGGAGCACTCGCGAAATCCGCGCAGCTGTGGAAGATTCTGCGAGATGTTTCTCGAATGCGCTGTCATCGGCGTACGTTAGGTGTGAACTTACCTAGCTTCTGATTTAGTCTATGGTTGTTTTGAGTAATAAACACTAAAAAGTACAAACGAAAACAGAATAGGGAGTAAGAAACAGAACTAGCTTAGTGTTATCAGTTATAGATAAGACCGAACTGAACAGTCCTATGAACATCTGACTAACTACCCCATTAACATTTATAACGCTGTAAATGAAACTTAATTTAATGAACTTTTATAAGCTAATCTAACTTTTGTTACATTAATCAGTAGGTAAAAGAATTTAATGCTGGCTAAGCACGAAGTAACTATCATTAAAACCTGGAATTGATGTATGCATTTGAATATTGCTATTCCACGTGTCCTATCAACGCACCAACGGACTTAAATTAGATAGTCCTTATATTTAGACAGCAGGACCACAAATCATGCACTTCCATAGCTTAAATCGAACATACATTTAGTGAGCTTACCAGTGTAAATTTCAACTCAGCGCACAGCTCGCGGTAAAAGCTGCGAGACAAAAGCGTATTAGACTTCATTTGATAACTGCAAGCGGATTTATTACGATTAACAAAATCAAAACAAATTAAAAGTCAAACAGTGACGGTGGAATGAACGGAGCGTCATCCTTTCTTAGAAAGGACCGCTTCTTTTTCCATTTATTTTTTTTACGAACACGACCACGGTCGAACATCTCAATCCCGATGAGTTTACAAATGAAGTTACAAATCAACAAAGCAAACAGGCGGTGGCCAGTGGCCTTACCGGCTTAGAACAAACCGTCTCCATATATCACGATGTAAAACCTGCGCCTTGCCTTTTATGATAGGTCAGCCTCTGCGTCTTGTACGGCGACGCATCGCCTCTAATCGCGCCCGAGCTAGATCTCGCCGAGCTAACGACGTTGTGATAATTGATTTTGTAATCGTCCAACGGCCGTTGAATTTGTATTGGCGCCAAATGCAACATTTGAAACGAGAACCGCGCACAGTTCCTTTTAAAGAATAATTAAAACCGCCAGATGATGCGCTCTTAATGTCACCGGCGGCATTGACATTTAAAGGAGCAATAATAGATATTGTGTTATACGGATGTGGAAAACACAATGGACGACTACGTA